TTGTTTAATGGTCTTAGATAAAGTTATGTTTTTTCCCCTCTGTTTATTAAATGTTATTGTAGGGAGTTTGATTTAACAAAAAAGAAGGGAAAGCAATATTTGTGTATTCTTTCTATTAAAGCCATTTGAATAAATTGGTGAAACAGACAAGAGGCAGAATTTTAGTGTGTTCTTGGAGGTGTTTTTTTTTTTGTTTATTTGTTTTGTTTGTTTGGTTTTTTCCCCCTCTTAAATCTCACTTATGTCTGTGTGGCAGCTGTTGCTTCTTTTAAGGAAGCAAGTTTTTGAACTCAGGTTTCTGTTGCTTATCAGCACTGTATATTAAAGACATTTCCTTCACACCTCTGAAACCATTTACATATTGAAAAATGTAGAAGTTTTGCAAAAGTGATTATTTTAAAAATAACTTTTTAATAACAAGACTAATTTTAAATTACGGATTAATTTTTCAATAATGGCTAAATTACATATGCTTAAGGATTACAAGTGATGAGGCTAACAATAGCAGCTCTCAAATCTGAGATGAAAAATAAGTGTGAAAAGACAGTTTGAGTTCTGAGGTGAAGTAAAAAAATTACAAACTTTTAGTGGCACATTTGTCTAACAAGGATTTTTTTTGACTACTCATATGATTTCTTAGAAAGCTCTTGTTTCTGAAGCTCCTCAGCAGTATCAAAACTACCAACATTGCATCGCTGGAAGAAACATATTTTGTGAAATGTCCTGAAGGCAGGATTCTTGTTGCTGTCTGCCAAAGGCAGAAAAGAAAAATCATTAAGGCTGCAGTACAGGGGTGAATAAAGAGGCAACCGCGAGGGTCATGTTCTAAACAAACCTTCATTAAACATTCTTTGTTACTGTTGTTAGTGTATTATTAAATACAACGTTAATTAAAGAGTTGCGTGTTACGAGGGTGCTTTTTGCATGAAGATCAGATTGCATTTTCATGTGCTTCAGGAATATACTGCTGTCTTCATCTTCTGGGTGTATTCTCTCGGTAGTTATTAAAAAAGTAGACCCCAAAACCATAAAATTGATTATAAATTTGTGCTTTGTGTCTGCATATGTATTTATTTTCTGTACGTATCAGCGAGATACATATTCTAGTGCCACTTTTCTCAAGTAGCTTTAAAAACTTTACCTAGAATTAAAATGATGTAGGAATTACTTGGCTTTCTTTCCTGCAGTGGTTGCAATTAGAAACCTCTTCTTACTGTCTAATAAACAGATCCTAAAAGAACATGTTTTTCAACTTAGAAGGGTATAAATTTAGGCAAAATAATAATTTAACTTACATTAACTCAGCAGGAAGCAGGGTACAAGCCTATTAATTCTCTATGGCAGATCCACTGCTTTTTTAAATACTGCAGCTCCATTTCATTAAATTGTCAGGATATCTTGTGGTTTGGTTAGCCTGCCTGGACCTATCTTTCTCATGGAATTTTTTTTCACTTGAATTAATGAATTTCAGATGTAAATTTCCTCTAGTTTGCTTGTGTTGAGATATTTAACAAACATACACTCCAGATATCTTTAAAGTGATTGAATATTGCTCATACCAAAAAATGTACTTTTTGGTTTTGTTTTTTTTTTAATGTGGAGCTGCTCAGTTAGAAGACATGGAAGTTTTTCCTTTTCAAATACTCTGCTTTGCTCTAGCATTTTTTGAATGGAATATTTCTTTCAAGGCAGTTCAGTAAGCACATGTCTGTTCAGAAGTATGGACTAAAATGTTTTTCTATCTTTAGGCAGATTATGTAGAAGGAATGCAGTTATAAGAGAGCATCTAGAGTGCATTTGAGAGCCATTAAACCACTTGAGCAGCTAAGGGAACTGTTCACTGATACCACCGTTTACTTTAGTTTTCAAAAGTGTTCACCCATTTGTTAATTAAATTACAAAATAAGTGTAGGGCAGATGATAAATATTCAAGTATAGGGCTTGGAGAGGGATTAGAATATTGGTCATTTCAAGACAAAATTAGGGGTTTTATGTGTGCATGTTTGTATAGATGTCTTGAAAAAGCAGTCTGACCATCATTAATGTTGGGAAACTGTTTAGGAGAAACACTCCTCAAAGAAATATGTCTATGAAAGAAACATATGGAACCTTATGAAGCCATAGTGCTTTACAATTGCTTTCAAATTGCTTTTTCTATGTCTGGCTACAGTTTGCGGAGCAAAGACAGAGGTACATCTGTGCTCGTGAGTAAACTGGTACTTTACCTGTCCTATGATTAGCTTTTGTCGAAAGTTGCTAACTCTCTTCAGAGGAGCATGGAAGTACTAGTTATACTTTTCTAATGGTTTTTCTCCAGGCAGAACATCAGCCACATAACTCTATAGATGATCAGAAATCTGTTTGGTTTTCGGGTTAAGAGGCTCTGCATTTGGCTGCTAGTAGATACTCAATCTAAAGTATTGGCCCAAACAGTGAAGAGGGAGTAAGTGATCAGAGAAGTGTGTGCTGGGTCTCTAAGGACACCTGTTAGAATGGTCTCCTTTTCTATAGGTTTAGCCCTGGAGAGTGAATGTAAGTAAACAAAGGCTTCCGTTCTTTTCTGAGTGACTAATAAGTATACTTCCCCTATCACCCCTGAGTCTTAGAGCCGAGTCTGCTTATCTCCCTTTCCAGTTTATTCCTTGCAGAAAGGAGGACTCTCTTTGAAACCTGGTTGACTTGCTTTGGGCATGTTGATACTGTCTCCATGCTGTCCTCGAATTCATCAGTGTGTTTAGCTGCCTGCCTACATAGAAGTTAACCCACCTTATAGCTAAGAGTAAGATCCTGATAGATTGTAAACCCAGCAACTGGCACATTCTCTCATAAACAGTCACTTACTCTTACAATGAAATGAGGTATAATTTATTAGGAAAATACAGAAGATTATCGTCTCTTTTACAAAGCAACTAGGATATTAATATTTTTAAAACAACTATTAGATGATCTGATATGTAAGGTTTTGTTTTGGCTTCAACTTTTGAGTCCATGCAGATTTCAACAAATTTGTTGCAAAGCATATTTTAAATAGTTCTAAAATATGAGTCATACCTTTACTTAGGCCTATGATTATTTCATTTTCAAGTATTCAGCAAACTTAATTTAAGAGGTATCTACCTTTTTATGTAATGCTGATGTAGATTGCATTGTTGTTGGTATTGAAGTTACATATTTGTTTTCCCATACTGCACTTGCATTTCTTCAACTTACAAAGTATCTCATACCTGTTTGTTTTGGTTTGGTTTTTATTGCATACTCTTTTGTTAGCTGGGATTTCCCATTGTGAAATCCGTTCACAGTGGCAGTGTCAGTTGGGATGTTCACAGCCCAGCTAGTACCGGATGTCTGAGATAAAGCTCTGCATCAATACAAATGTAACTAGTGCTATATCTGCTCTATTCATTTTGTGATCAAATTAAGTCACACTTCGACTTTTTCAATTCTTTCTACTTACATGAAAATGCCTATATAAAAAAATCAAGCAGGTACCCTGCTATCTAGAAGCAGGACTAAATAGGAAGAGTTTTCCTGCTGAGTGCCAGGTAACATAAGCCAGCCTGAATAGCCCAGTGTTAGTTTTTCCTCTCTTTCCTCTTCTCCGTCTCCTATTGCAGCCTCCCTTTTCTGCTTAAATACATGTTGAAAATCAGAAATGTTAGTGGTTGCAGTTAGATTTTTTTTTTTTAGGCTATGGGTATCGTCAAAATCCTTACAAGCTGTGATCAAGTTCATCAAGGCCATTCCAGTGATTCCCATGTTGAACTTCAGTGACAATTAGTTGATTGCTGTGATGGAAAGGTGAAGATGCAATTAATGAATGTTTAGATTACCCTTTAATGAAGTAAGCTCCATGTTAGGTGGATGTAAACTTCCTTCTGACTTTTGAATTGCCTAAAAGCTATGTAGCTACAGCTAACAGGGTGCTGACGTGGTAAACAGCGCTAACTGTCTGGGGCTTAGCACAGGACCAGTGCAGCCCCTGGAATGGTTCATTCAGAGCGTTTTACAAATGAAGGGAAGTCCTAGGTGTGATTGGAGATTCTGCATTGTTAATACACTTTTTTCTTAAAATTTTCACTTGTATAGTAATGAAACAGTGACTTATTTTAAGTTTAATTAAGTCCTCATTTGGTACTCTGCAGAGTATATAGAAAACAAAGATGGGGAAAATTGGGCAAATCTAAAGTAGCCTGTACTTAACTGAGTAACTACACTCTAAAACTGAAATTGTTGATGGGATTTTGGTGTGGTATTGTAAAGAACAATAGAATGAAAGAGATTTTTTTGCCCTTAGTAGCAAATAAGTAGCATTAATTAAGATATTGTCTTTGTGTTCTGTATGTTTCTGATCCTAAATACCTCATAACTTGCAGAATCTTCTGCTTAGCCTGGGGTAGGGGGAAGATGGAGATGGTAGGTTTATTGCTGGAATTATCTCTTGAAAGGTAATTGGCTTCTACTTATTTTTTTTTATTCCTTTTGCTCTCAGTTACATTTGTTAAGTGTATTTTGTGTAGGTTTTTCCATTACCCTCAATTTTCTTGTATTTGCCTAGTGTATGTTTTGAGGAAATGAATGACTTTTGCACTGGCTTAGCAGGGTAAATGTTCTACCTTGTAGTAGTTTAGATTTCACTTGGTTATTAAAAGTCAAGCTGTAGTGCTTATTTTTTTTTCTGAAAAAAATTTGAATTGTTTATAGGTGTAAAGATGTAGGATTTTTCAAAGAGTGTAGTGTGATTAAATTTAGAATTATGGAATATTACTATACTGTACTTGTAGCTTCTTATTCCAGAGGCATCATTGTACAGTCCAGGCTTACCATTGCAATTCAATTTTCTCTTCTTTTGGTGGGAGTTAAGGTTTTCTCTGTAAATGGAAAACATCTGAAAAGATTTTGGTATAACTAATGTTAGACACTGATATGTTATGTTTATGTTTTTTGATATTCAAGTTTAGGTTTTTTCTACAATACTAATGAACTTTTTTTTTCTACTTTAGGAGAATATATAAAAAACTGGCGGCCAAGATATTTCCTGCTAAAGACAGATGGCTCTTTCATAGGCTATAAGGAGAAACCCCAGGATGTGGATCTGCCATATCCACTCAACAACTTTTCTGTGGCAAGTACGTATTTCCAGTACTTATTATTCTCTCAGCATATTGACAGATTATCTGCTACATATTGCTTCATGTATAGTTCAGAATTTATTAATAACACTGCAAGTTTTTTGCTATGTGCCATACTAGTGCACCACTAATTTTACCTCCACCTCTACAAGATATCTTTACAGTAGCATAGAAGATTTTATCATGGGTTGGGTTTTGAAAGTTTTTGGAAATCTGAGGTCTCATTTTTGTGTGTGTATGTCTGAAGTGTCTGTAAATAACAATGACATTTGACAAATGATTATTGTAAGAAGAAAATTCCTAGAAAGATCGCTGACACCTCTTTTTTTTTTTATTGGTATCTCTGAATTCACTTGAAAACTCTAATTAGATAATTATCTAGACTGTCAAATGACGCGAAATCATGCTAAGTTATTTTTCTCTTGGATAATCAGGTAATCAGCTCTCCAGCCTTGTTAATCAGTAATTTCAAGCAATCAGACAATTTGCATATATATTAACAAAGCTACAAAGTGTGTATCTGTTGGATAAAGTGAAGATTATTTGTTTTCCAGGAATGTTTCTAAAAGACAAATCTGTAGGTTTTTTTGATCTGGCAGAATGAGATTCACAGAAGGGTGTTTGTGAATAGAAATGGAAGTATTTGAGAAGCCAAATTAAGGGGACAAAAAAAATCTCCCAGAGTATGAGTTGCAGATATCACACATAGAAACTTCCAGAGGAACACTAGAAAATTTACCCAATTTCTTTTAAAATTGTATTAGGGTACTGTAATACAGTAAGTGGCAGTGTTTAGTTTTATAGAGGCGTCTAGGAGCTGCAAGAGTATGTGTATTTACGGAAAGGGTTCCCTTCCTCTGCATTGTTGAAGATGGAACAAGTGCTACTGGGACTGAATTTTCCTATTTTCTTGATAAAATTGTTCTTGAGATTGACTCAGCGTTTGTGTATACAAAGTAATTTGTGTATTTTATTTAGTAAGAAAATAATCTCATGCTCCAAGTGCGTGTCTCGTCTCACAGCCAGAGGAGGAAAACTTTGCGTATTCTGATTGTAGTATAATTCTTACAAATGATATTGAGTGTGCAAACCTTCTAATAGTATTAGAGGCTCACTTTGCCTTGTTGCTATTCAGCATAAAAGCAGTGATGTCTTTAAGTTGTTCATATGAGTAGGAATTGACTAGAACATAAGCCATTATTCCTTTATTTATTGCTCTGCATATTCTAACTACTCTTCTATGGAGTTAATAGTTTTCTAGGTACCTTTTCCCTAGTGTGGAGCTGAAAGACTATTTGTAGAAACACAGTGGGGTTTTTTTGTCCTGCTTTGCCATGTTCTTCGTTGCATGTCCTATCTTCTCTTGCTACAGCAACTAAAAGGGTGATCCAAATGGTAGTTCTGCTAAGCAAAGAAATACATAATTAGCAATTCGTTCCGGTATGTTTATACTGTTGTTTGTTGGGGGTTTTTTGGTACCTAGAGGTCATGTTATGTGATTCTACTATTAGAATGCTGTCCTTGAACTTTACCTTGCTATAAATGGAAAGATTTTATATTATTTTCCAAAATGACACCATCACCACCTCCACTGCTCCCCTCTCCCTCTCCCTTCCTCCCACTCCTCCCCCCGCAAAAATCCTTTCTGCAACTAGCAAGTCCCGTAGGTCTGACTCTAAGGCAATGCAAGCTAAAGGAGCAAGCATGCAGTATTAATTGAAAAAAATACAATTTTGATAAGCAAGACGACTTTTTCTGTTTTCTGGCAGGAAAAGGAGTAATTTTATCAGAAACGATTGCTGATCAGTGCAACAATAGGGAAATGTATCACTCAGAATCTCATGAAATTGAATGAAGTGCCTATGTAGAATTCACAGGATGAAAAGCAAAACAGTATGGTATTGCACTCTTAAATTGTAAGGGACTGTAAATTTTTCATCAGCTATTTTATCTGTCTGAAGATGAGATCATCAGTAGGACAAACAAACAAACAAAATTGTTATATGAATGAATCACATCTCATGGGAAGTACCTGGTAAATGTCAAGAACTGGTCTCATGGCCTCTGATCCAAGAGTTCCTGAGCTGCTGCCGTAGGTTTGTGGCCACAAGCAGTGCAACATATTTTTCCTGTAATAGTGAAGTACGTTTTTCATAAATTACTAGCCAGGCAGATGGAGTGTGAGATCACTGTTAATACCATCTTGATTAGGTTGGCAGGGACTTAAAGATATGTCTTTACAGTCCTATCTTCACGTAATCTTTGTAGCTATCTGTAAAGTGAGAATGTGGTCTCAGTCTACTTTTTGCTCTCCAGATGATAGACATCTTTGGCTCTTGCTTGCAGCTTGTTATTTAAGCAGAAAAGGCCAAGGCTGCAGTATTATTTTCATAGTACTGTTGGAGTTAAACACTTGAAAGTTTGCACAGCTCTGCTTTGTATGATACTTGTTCTGTAGTTTAAAACTTTTATAACCAGCTCTGTCAAGCTAATTACTTCCGTTATATAAATATTTCCCCCCCAGTGTCCCCTGCCTTCCACTCCTGTGACATGAGCTTTACTTTTGCAAAAGTAAGGTTCTTTCCCAGCCACTGTATCATTTCTCCTAGTGTGGCTCCCTAAAGTTCCACACCTGAGCATTATCCTTTCCCTGGTTTTGTGTCATCTGTGTACTCTGCTGGGAATGACAAGAAGGCTGGAGAGAATGAAATTATTTTACATACTACTAACAGTGCTTTCAGTAATAAATGTGTCTTTGCTAGTAAAGCCTTTCTCATCGGATGGTGTTTTGTCATAGGATGTAGTGTTCAGAGGCCATTCCTTTTCCTTGGAGTGTTCTGTGAGGAAATGTGGGGGGAAGGCATTTGGAAGTGGGTGCATAAACAGATAGTCACTTCACTTAGGGAAAGACTGAGGCAGCACACATGCTTCAATGTGTTGCCAGCCACCCAAAATGCAGTGGAACCACATGGGCCTGTAATGGAGGTGAGGGATCTCTCTTCTTAGAGCACTGAAGATGAAACAGAGTTGACTGAAGGATGCAACAGAGTGGGGCTGGGTGGAGCTGAGCCCCAGGGAAGGATGCAGGACTGCCCTCAGGTGTCCTGAATGGACTTTACTCTCCCAACCTCAGGTGCACATGGAAGGCAGCAATGTGCACTCTGCACTGCATCTTGGACCTGCTGCAAGACTGCAGGAGTGAACAAATCAGCCAGATCTGGTGACACTGGATAGTGTTTAGGAATCGCTCTGGCTCTTCTCCTGTGGAGCCAGCCAATTTTACACCAAACAGAACTGCTGCCTTTTAAATGGGAGATGAGCGAGCTGTGTATTTGAAGTATGCTGTTAGTCCCTTAATGCTCATGCCCTGACACTGAGACTCACAAAAAACTGTGCTGTGGTATGTAACCATGCACTTGAAGACAAATGAAGGCGGTGTAATTACACTGGGGGGAAGTTAATTGTGAAAACTTAAAACCGGTTGATACTGGTTTTCAGGGATAAATTCAGAAGTGTGAGCTTACTTGAATTGGCTGGTTCAAAATCAGTTCAGCTCTTTTCAGGTAGAGAGAAGCAGTTGCGAGTAATCAAGCTGCTGTAGCTTAAACAGATACTCCTGATTGACTGAGTCACGGTAACTGTGTGGGTGTGCATTTCTAGCCCACTTCAACTGCAAAATAAAATATGTTAATTTAAATTGCTTCTACTTAGGCATTTATGCAGTCAGAACCAGTTTAAAAATACTTTGGCTTCAATTAAAAAAAAACCACAACAAAATCCCACCAAAAAACCCCAATGTGGCCTCATAACACTGTTTTCAACTGGTCCACTGTTGCATAAGTGGAATCGATGCTGCCTTGTGTAAACCACTTTGGTCTTTGATCGTCATCGTTATTTGGGAAAGCAGGGTGGGGAAGAGTTCTACTTCAGTTCTACTTAAGGAACATGTGTGACTTTACTGATAAAAAAAAAATACTTCTCACATACACAATGAGTATGTAGGTAATCACGTAGCACATTTGGGATGAAGTATCTCTAAGAATTGGCCCTTTGCCTTCATTTTGATCTTTATATGGGGAATAATTGGGAAGAGCTGTATCCCTTCTCAGTAGCCTTTGAGCTTTGGCCAAAAATGATGTCACCTCGAATTTCTTTCCTATCTTGAAAGATAGTGCTTTCTAAGCACTCTGTGATACAGCTACCATTTTTCTTGTCTTTGAAAAAAAAAAAAGGAAATTTTAGTTATTATGAGAAGGTAAAATTTTATAAACTTTATTTTATTTTCTCTGCATAAGTGATTATTGATTTACTTTGGCTATTGTAAATGGAGAATCTGTGCTACTTTTTCCTAGTCTTAATGTTTCAGTGGGCCAGAGACAAGATTTTATTATTTTTAGGATTTAAATATCTTCAAAATATGAAAATTGGAAGGTTTCAGGGGAATAATGTTAGGGGTTTAAAGAGTTCTGAAGGCATTCTTTAAAAAAATAGGTAGGAAAATATATATGTCTGTTATAAGTGAGATTAAATTATGCATCAAAATGCCTTGGCATTAGACATGACCTTGTGGACAACTCCAGAAATAACTTTTCAATGAAATTTAAGTCTATTTTTTTTTAAATTGTTACAACAGTGGATGACATGAACCCAGAGATGAGCATGTAACTCTAGATATTTGTAATTACAGTGTGGATTTTATTCCAAAATAATAATAGTGGAATTGAATAAATAATGTTCATTCAACCCTGAAAACACTTGTGGGGAGAAAAAGGCATCTCTGTGTAATATGCTGTATGTGCAAATGCATCTATGGAAATTCGAACTCAAATCTAATGTGTATAAGACATATTTCCATCTGTGTTGGATGGGGAAATGTTTAGCTTTCTGGAAAACTGGACCAGTAATTTTCTTTGGGAGGCTTTCATATTACTTTATGAATGGTTTCTGGGTGGTATAGTTGATATTCTGTCATTTCACTTTGAAATTTGGGTTCAGTT